AAAGTAATATAAATAGAGCTTGATTAAATATTAGTGTAATTTAATTTGCAAAGATAATATAAACTTCGAAGAATGTTTTTGCTAAAAACTAAACTTATAGCTTCATAAATTAATATTATAAAAAGTTTATTAAAAAGGAACTTTTTAAACAATTTCTTTTTTTTTTAAACAATACAATTTTAAAATTTTACATTGAAATAAATTTATTTAATATATATAACGTATAAATTTTGTTAAGGTATATAAATATTACATATTAATAATCTATGATTTTTGTTAATATATTCTGGATGCATTTAACTATTATTGACATATTTCCTTATAAATAATAGAAGATTCCTAAATTTATATCTATTGACATATTTTGTGTGACTAAGTTGGAAGGTGTGGGATAATATGCCAAGATAATAACATATTTTGTACAAAATTGTTAAGCATATTATAAGATAAAATAATGATAATATTATTAGAGAGTTAATGTAACATAACTTTCTAGTAACAGTCCATTTTTTTAGAAATCACACATGAAATCAAGTCATGACTTCTGTTTTAATATATAAGATGTATTACATATTTATTTTAGTTACCTGTTGTTTAATTATTTGATGAATTTATTTCCGATCGAGTTCGGCAAAACTCAAACCCCGAGCTATCAAAGAACCAGATTCATTCAGATATTTATGCCAGATTCATATTTTGAATTGGTTCAAATCAGTTTTTTTTCTTCCATTTCTCCACCCTTACGTCTAACATATATTAGACTGCGCATCTTACTTTTTCTATCAAATTTTTCGTAAAATATCTCTATTTCTTTTTGAAACACAATCTATATTTATTTATAAATTATGAATTTGGAAGGAATGAGCCCAAAAAATGTAGGTATGTGTTTTTTAAGCCTTAGGAATCTGTTTATTTTTTGATATTGTGTGTTTGAGTCTTGTTAGTGGAAAAATTAGATTATTGACTTATTGGTTGATTTGTTGAAATCTACTTTTGTGATATTGTTCGAAAATTCTCAAAACCTTGTGTCTCCTATTGTTAGAATGGTGATCAACGGGCTGGATCTTAGGTAACATATAAACGATAATTTGCATTTATATCTAATTTTACGGTTTTTTTCTTCTTCTGAGAACTTATTTGTGATAGTTTTGTTATCTCCTTAACCAAATGAGACTTTAGAAATTTGGTTTTTTTTTTTTTTCTTAATAATTTCTTGACTAAAAAATGAACTGATTTGAGATTGAGTTGGGAGATGCAACTAATGCCTATAACTGCTAACATGTTAGTGTTCTCTTTAAAGAAAACAACCCATGTGAAGGATATAAAATTAGTAATGTGATTTACAAATCACGGTAGAGAATTGAGGTAGATTTGTAATGAGAGTTTGGTTGTGATTATGCTGTCATATGCTTTTAAAAATTGTTCTAAAATTTTGTATTGTCATTTTTTGCTGTACTATATCAAAATATTATAATCCATGGCTTACCTCTGTGGGACTAACATATCAAAACTTTCAAAATTAAAACTTACATATATAATGTTTGCTACATGCAAAATTTACAACATATATAAGAGTTGGTGCATTGTTTATTTATTTATTTATTTATTAACTTTGGGGTATCCTAGATCCATGGAGAGGTCTAGACTAATCCCCAAGGGGAGGTGTAGCCCACAGATAGACCATCTCTTCAGGTATTCAAATGGGCCCTAAAGCATAGACACATATCTAGGGATGGGCGCAAGGCGAGTATTTGCTATTTTGCATGTACTCGCGACTTGACTTGCCTTGTACGAATAATAAAATTTTCGACTTGTACTTGACTTGTTTAAAACGAGTACTTACTATTTCGAGTACTTAATGAAAAATAAACGACTTGCAAGTTACTTGCCTTACTCTATTACTTACTATTTACGAGTACTTATGCACTATTAACGAGCTTTTTCGGAATATTTAAGAACTACTAACTAAATAATATTATGTTAGAAATAGACATGAAAATTTGTTTTGTTTATTTTACTTAAAGTAACATGTAAATTACTTTAAATAGAATATTTGTTCATATTATAAAAAAGATAAATTACAAAATGCATATTATGGTATATAAACATTGTATAATGATCACGATAACAAGAATATCTTCTCTAGATAAGTAACAAGTAATAACAAATCATATTACTAAATTTTTAATATTTGTTGTTGTGTAATACTTGACTAGATAACGACGAGTATTCAAAGATCAAGATTGGATACAAAATAAATAACAAATATAAGAAGAGTAGTGTGTATTTATGTCTAGTCCTAAATGCAAGTAAAAGAAAAGACAAATATGAAAAACTAATTAATAGATTATGTAACAAATAGCAAGTAATGGAACAAGTAGCGGGGCGAAACGAATCAAATACAAAATATAATAATGATACTTGATACTTGACTTAGTCTTGCAAATAATGAAAATTGTCGTCTTGTTACTTGCCTTGACAACACCGAGTACTTGAATGTTTAAGGCGGGTACGAGTCAAATATCGAGTTTAAGGCGAGTAACGAGTAATGATGTCCAGCCCTACACATATCTGTGTTAGGTGACCAGGATAATTGTGACTTAATTTCGCGCAGCAGGTAGATCGAACCTGAAACATGTTGGTGTCTCAGTCCCGTCTCCTTACCACTCGACCACAATCACCCGGTCAAAAATTTACGCTTGCCTGGGTTCGAACTTGAACAAGTGCATTGTTTTCTTCAGTGGTTAGTCGTAGATTAAAGTGAAGAGACAAGAGATTGAAGCTATCATTTCTCATGGCACTATACAGACAGCACTTGACTAAATTTTGAACACTTTGCCTAAAGCTACTAGAAGCCCTTTATCGAGAGAGAGAGAGAGAGAGAGAGAGAGAGAGAGAGAGAGAGAGAGAGAGAGAGAGAGAGAGAGAGAGCCAACACTACTTGACTCCATACCACAATTTGTTGCATTGTTCTAAACTCAAGGAATATAATCGTTCCAACTTGTCCCCCTTTTCATGATTTCCTTAAATTTTGTTGGAATATATATGTTTATCGTGAGCCATACTAAGGTATGAATAGTACTAATTCAATATATAAACATCATGTCAAGTCACTTGCAATTGCAAACAGATTAATGCTTGCTAATGAAACGTTATATATTAGGATGATCAACTATTACGAGCATATATCGTTATTGGGTTCCAAAATCTTCGTGTGATGTGTGTTTGTCGATTTAAGACTGGCATCTTTGGGAAGTAATTCAAGACTTATATATATATGTCTCACGTTTTGTTCGTCTAGTCTAATTATATGTCCTAAAAACAGTAATAGTGTCTGTGCTAACTTAATTGCATAAATCTTCTGAATATTCTGTGAATAATTATCAGTAAAAATATTTCTGAGGCTTTGGCGTGTGCCCTAGGAATATATGACTTGTGTGAATATCATCTAGTCATACTATGCAGAGAAGTGGTGGTGACAACTGACACGTAATCCAATTAGTCATAAGATGATCTTTAAATTTGTGGATGATACCAAAGTTTATCATATATGTGGATTACTGTTTTGGAATGATATCATGGACATGTCTTTCGTTAGCATGTCCCTGATATCTTTGCTTTTATAGTTTATTAACCATATATTAGCTCATTACTAAATCCACAACGAAACAAGTTCATTTGTTATAGATTTGCATGTTCGTTAATGGTTATAGTAGTCTAGAGTATCTTGAAACCAACATTAGCTTCTATTGGTGATCGTAGAATGGAAACTGCATGACATCCGAAAGTAAACCATTAGAACGCAGTTAATAACCAGATATGAGAGACTTGGTGGAATGTCTAACACGTTTACTTTCACGAAAGGGAGATTAATTAAAGGTTCTTATCTTGCTTAGCGGCTTGGTCTTGTATATATAATTAAGCCTTTTTCTTAAGTACCTTTGTTTATGATATGTAAGTATAGAATTATTCAACTATATGGTCGTCCATAGACTATTTACTTTATTGTTAGTGAATGAAAATTTAGTTTTAGGTCAATTTATTCGTTTTTTATTTGAGTTGGGTTAGATTAAAAAGGTCTAGCAATATAAGATCTGAATTTTGTATCCATAACAAAGATTTATGTTTGCTAATCAAAACCATACTGTTATTGATAATAAAAGTACGTCTATGCTTTCAGAAGCTAGATGCATAGTTGCATACATCATCATTATTATGAAACTAAGTCTTGTACATATGTACTGTATAACTTTTATAACAAATTTAATATCGTTAATCATTACAGGATGTGATGAATTTATGAAAATGAATCCATTACATAAATCTTTGGTTGAGACTCGCTCAAAAAGATAGACACATATCGCACATGCAACAAGTTGTGTGTGGCACCAGCACCATATACTAGAAGATGGTCATCTTTGGTCCAGTTCAACAACATGATTTCCCACGAAAAAAAAATCCGTTTTTAATAATTCTTGGTTCATTACACTCCTTGATTAGTCTAGTTTCCAGTGAATATAAACATTCATAATCTTCCCGCAAGCATTCTCCACAAAACCAAAAATACCTTAATACTATCAAAACAAACCACAGTTTCGACCAACCTTGCTTCAAACCAGATTTTCTCACCCTATACTAATCCATTTAAAACGATTAAAAATCCAAACGAAACCTTAAAGAATTATCTACAAACCGAAAAAAACAAAACAAAATTTCATCAACTAAAACTCAAGATATGACGAGTTTAATCGAACCTAAAAGCACACCAAAAGCACCTATCCACATCCATTAACCTCCCCATCCTCACACTCCACACTCCTCATCTCCACACCGTCGATAGCGTTAAATCCAACGGCTAATATTCAAATAACACCGATCCGCGTACTCATTATATCAACCAATCAGAACGAAGATAGAAATACACATCTGACTATAAAAACATTTCCGTCGTCTTCATCAGAATCCAAATCAAATCGCAGAAGAAAAGAAAGAGAAAAGAGATGTCTGCAGAGGAAGAAACCGTTCCAACAACCGTCGAAGAGACGGTGCCTTCACCAGCGACGAAGAAGAAGAAGACGAAGGAAGCTAAATCTCCGAAGAAGAAGAAGCCTCCTACTGCTCCGAAGAAGAAAGCTTCCTCATCTCACCCTACCTACGAAGAGGTAATCATCAGATTCGATTTTAGGTTTTTTTTATTTTTTTTTGGAATTTTTGAATTTTAATTTCGAGAAAAAATCTGATCGCAGATGATTAAAGATGCGATCACGACGTTGAAGGAGAGAACCGGATCTAGCCAATACGCGATTCAGAAGTTCATAGAGGAGAAACAGAAGTCGTCGCTTCCTCCTACGTTCAGGAAGCTTCTCCTCGTTAACCTCAAGAGACTCGTCGCTTCTGAGAAGCTCGTCAAAGTCAAAGGCTCCTTCAAGCTTCCTTCTGCTAAATCCGCTGCTCCTAAACCGGCTCCGGTTAAGAAGAAGCCAGCTGTATCTTCTACTAAACCCAAGGCTAAGGTTGCTGCTAAAGCCAAACCAGCAGCTAAAACCAAAGCTGTAGTAGCTGTGAAGCCAAAGGCTAAGGTTGCTGCTGCTAAACCTAAGGCTAAGACAAAGACTGTAACTGCTGTTTCGAAGACCAAAGCTGTTGCTGCTAAGCCTAAGGCTAAGGAGAGACCTGCTAAAGCTGCGAGGACTTCGAGTAGAACGTCTCCAGGGAAGAAGGCTGCTCCTGCACCTGCTAAGAAAGCTGCGACTAAGACAAAGACCAAGGCGAAGGCTCCGGCTGCTAAGAGTGTGAAGGCGAAGTCTACTCCGGCGAAGAGGGCGTCGACGAGGAAGGTGAAGAAGTGAGTGTTTAGGATAGTGAAAAGGGTGGGGGGGGGGGGAGATTGAATGAATACATGTTGTTGGTGGTTAGCTTCTTTAGGGTAGTCTTGTATAATTTGAAATCATCCTTGAAGAAGCTTTTGGTTTTATCTTTTGTTTTCTGGTTTCTTCTTGAAACCCTTTTGTTTCTTTTTGTAATTTTTTTTTGTTTGTTTTGGAATTTAAGCTTCTTACAATGGTTTTAAATGTTTATCTAGTTCCTGTCTGAATTGGTTCTTGTATGAATCTAGAACACTGTCTCAATGTGTTCAGCTTCTTTCTTGTTGAATGTTCTTGCTAACATACTATGCTTTGAAGGAACTGTTCTACCTTAAGCTTTCTTACATGGTTCGCAGATTTGCTTCTGTTATTAAGTGTTAATGATCATCTAGTTCTGTCTGAATTGATTGTTGTATGAATCTTAAACATTGCATCAATGTGTTGACTTTCTTTCTTGTTGAATGTTTTAATACAGACAAGAACAACAAACTTGGCAAAAGGTAAGGTTTGAGATTCATACCTTTTGTCTGAAACATATGATGCATTTGGTACCTTTAATACATCCATCTCTTACATGCATTTGTCTCAATGTTTTCTTTAAATGTTCTAATGAAGACAACATACTATGCGTTTGAAGGAACTGGTCTACTTTAAGGCAAAGTTAAAGGTGAAAATCATACCTTTTTGTCTGAATCATATGATGCATTTGGTACCTTTTAACACATCTCTTACAGTGTCCAGATGGGTAACATAGCTAGGAAACAAAAGCTAGGAAGTTACATCTTTTTGCTCTGTTTCTGACTTTGGTGTATCCTGAAGATACTGTTTGAATCTCTCCACTTTCTGGATTGAGTATTTGAGCTCCTGCTGAATGTTGAACCTGGAAGGAGACAGAACAATGTCTTTCCATATTGATCCAGCTTCACAAGCAGGGTTTGGTCTTCTGTATAACTCGTAAATTGACTCTGCATTCTCGTTTAGCCTCCCTACATTCTTCAAACAGTCTATCTCCTCTGGATCCACTAATAATGTCTTCTCCTTCTCTTTCCATGCTATCATCTACACAGAAACCAAAATCATCTCACCATGGATTCTCACTTCATTTACTTTTATAACATTGTCAGGTTATTCTAACCTTTGGAGAACCTTCAAGAGCATTGGTGCAGTAAAGCCTAGCATTGTCAACTAAGTTGCAATAAGTAAGAAACGCATCTGCAAACCTCTTGTGAGATCTCAGCTGAGATCTCACCCTCACTGCTCTTCTACACATTATTGCTCTCCTGCATAACCAAAACCTTATGTTAAGAAAAAACACACACACACACACACTACTAGTTACCAACTACTATCACCTAATGCCGCGAATCACTGCTAAGTAGGCATCGCAGACAACTCCAACTAACTCTATCCTGTATGGCTTTCTCTCCTTCCCATCCTCTTGCAGCTGTTGTCTTTCCCCTATGCGTTCCCAGTAGTTCTCTATGACGTCTCCGTTTTCACCAACCTTGTAGCCAGCTCCCATTCTGTAACGGTGGCGATGCACGTTCCTCGTCATGGTTATGGTCTGTACCACAAATGGTACCCACGAGAGTGTTCCATCCATTATCACATCCCTCCCTTCGTTGAGAGCTGTTACTAGTAGTGATGATGCTGCATCTGTTGATGATTGGTGAACCTGTTTCATTTCCATTTCACAGCAAGAGTTTCACAATATTTAATATAATCAAAACGTTATATGTTTCTTGTTTTTTTCTTCTTATATATATTTACTGGAAGAGTTTACTTAAACTTGATTTGATTCTGTTCTAATAAATCGGACTATGACTTTCAGAAAATCGGTCTAGACTTCCGCCTAAACAATAATCTTCTATAAGGCGCCTAACCACCACCTACCGATATTTTGAACTTTGATTCCTTGTGTATATGATTTTGTAAACAAAGAACCTTACGAATTCAGCAGTCTTGATCATATCAGCATGGCCTCTGGAGCTTAGAGCTCTGTATATCACATCAGATTCTTTGAAAGCATCAGCTTCGATCACCACAGCATCTGCTCCTGCCCAAAATGGTCTGATCCAAAAGCACACAAGCATATGTACAGTCCAAATGCATAAGAGCAAAAAAATGAGCAAGTGAATCTCTACTTACTCTTTGAGAATCTCTTTAAGGACAGTGCTCTTTCCTGCACCCATACCACCACCCATAAGGAGTAGAACAGGGCTTCTGTCCTTGTGTGCAACTGGAGCCATCACTTCTGTACATTCCGAGTCATCAACAGATGCTATCCCCATTGCTTTCATTTCCTCTACCAATGTGTTGAACACTCTTGCCACTTTTAGATTCTTAGTCACCCTCTCAAACCTCTGATCCCTACAATACCAATCAAGAAACAATCATTTTTTAATCAACAAAAGAGAGAATACAGTCTGGTTAGTTTTTTTTTGTTTTGTTTAGAATCACCTTGTTGCTGCCATGACAATGTGCTTGAGCTTCTTCTTGGGCTCAACATCAGCGCTGAGTATCTGCAACAACATCCATGTTTTTGATCTTTTAGTTCTAAAAGTTTTGTTTGTATTTTTTTTTATTGTTACCTGACTGATCATGAGATCTGCATGGCTCCAGTGGTAAGCAAAGTAACTGAGAATACATCTCTCAAACTCCTCAACGAGCTTGATGAAGAGAGTATCAGCATTAGGCTCTTCAGAGAAGAAGCTGTAAATGTCTTCCTCGCAGCAACCTGATTTCCTTATGTACTCATTGGCTAATTTGCAGAGATGAGGACATTCTCTCCTGTCCTTGAATCCCATTTGCCGCACTGAAACACAAAGAGAAAGAAAACACACAAATAACATTTCCTTAATGATGCATCAAAAATGTATATGAGACCATTTGGGGATTTTCAAAGAGGATAATATGTTTATTGGTTTTACCAACGTAGTGAGAGAATCTCTCAAGCTTCTCATGGCCTTTGTGTTTGTGAGACCGTCTGAGACGAGGGATGTTCTTGGAGTGACGTATCTTCCTGAGATGGTAATGCAGAGCAAGGGCTAAGAGCAAGCCAATGGATGAGATTACCAAAATCTGTGAGAAGGTGGTCGTGTTGTTGTTGTTGTTGGTGTTAAACTCTGGAGCACACATTGAGCTGTCAAGCATATGGGGATCATCAAGAGACATGAGATTAAAGATTGGGAAGACTCTAAGATTGGGACTAGTGTTGTTTGAGTTTGTTTTGTGTTACGAGACAATGTATCTGCTTTCTCCACGTGTAACCTACTTTACTAAAATAGCTTTAAGCCCTATTACTCCGGATGTTTAATTATTGTGGTTTTGACCATTTAATTTTGTTTTTTTTTTGTAGCCAAAGAATCTTATTCTCCATGTATGTTGTGTTTTTGAAAGGTTTTAGAAACTCTTTTACTGAAGGCTATATAGCATAAGATATATAAATTGAGTCTTAAGATGATTAGTTGTTTGTCACTCTTATTGGATAACTAACATATATTGGGGGAGAAAGGCTTTGCAAATAATGTTCTTACAACATCCTCATTTATGGTAAATACATGATAATAAGTGTAACATGTTTTGAATGATGACCAGGAAAATGAAGAGAATAAAAAGCATCTGAGGCAGCAATGGAGCCAGAGCTGGACATGTCACTTGAACCTATTGTTGTGAAACATTTTAATGAGACCTCTAACCTACTTTAGCCGGATGTATCTTGGCCTTCTACCAAAATAGATCCAGACTAACCGTTAGCAGCCTACGTTTTCAGCTCACATGTCAGTCCCGGTTTCTAACAATGCTGATTTTTTTTTGAAGAAAATGTAATTTTATATATCAATTTATTAAAAACATATGCTTTTTAACATAATAAATATCCACAAATATTACATTAGTTATTGGTAGATACTCCCTCCGTTCCTTAAAGATACATATTCTAGAAAAAAATTGTTTCTAAAAGATCCATATTTTACATTTTCAATGTATGTTTTATTAAATAATTGTAAACTTCAAAAAACTTAACTGCACTAATTAATTTTTGATTGGTTTAAAATTATGAAAATAAGATAAATACAAAAAACTATGCTAATTTATTGTGTTTTATTAAAAAGTGTAAAAAAAACTAGAATATGGATCTTTTAGGAACAGAGGAAGTATTATACTAGATGATACAAGAATTGATTATCTAAGGTAATTTTTTTCTTCTCTTTTCATATTAATTTTGTTTACATCTATTATCTCTTTTCGGATGTAGTTTTTAATACTACTCCATCTTTTCTTGAAAGAAAGATATTCTAGAATATTCACACACATTAATTATACAATAAATATTTACATTAAATTTATTATTTTGTTGTCCAAAAAAAAAAGAAGAAAAAAATAGTTATTTATTTTTACTATACACTTTTTATAACTATTATTGTATTTTAAAAATATACTCTCTCCATTTTTAATAGATTTTGTTTTAGCATTTTGTACATAGATTAAAAATATATATTTTTTTTTTACATTTTCTAAACAAAAAATCATTAATCATTTACCTAACTACAATTCAAGCAATAATAAAATATATAAAATATTATTTGTTATTCAATATTAATTGTAAATTTTACATAAAAATTTGAAAACGTCATTTATTTTGGAACAAAAAATTTCTCCTAAAACGTCAAGTATTAAGTAAAGGAGAAAGTATAAAATACTTTAAAATGTAGAAAATCTATAATTGTGTAACAAGAAAAAGGTCTAGAAAATCTTAATTTAGAGAATGGACAGAAGTACTAGCCATTGTAGCATAAAGTTCAAGGAATGAAAGTTAAAAAGTTGACAAAAAAAAAGAAGAGAGGAACATAAAATAATATTGTAGATTTTTTTTTTGAAAGGATCCACATAATTACAAATCCGATTTCATATGGAACACAAGTTACAAAAGTTATGAATACAAATATGTCTGTCTGTAACAACATTTGCAGTTAGATTCTACATCTCTTTTTGTCAATTCATTCAATTTTTAAATGAAGAAAATATAATTTAATTTGACCAAAAAAAAAGAAGATCTTCTTTCAAAATTCCTTTTCTAAAGTAATTAGTTAGCTAAAAACCGTTCTATTAAATTTTCACTTTTATTTTAATGTTACATTGTTGTAAGAAAAAAAGAGAGAGTTTACACTAATTTAGGAAAACCCCAAAACAAATCGTTGAACAAGTCTTGTTTGATTTTAGCGTAGAACAAGGCAAACTCCTTTCAGATTTTGCCCTCTTCTCTCTTTGACCAAATCAATCAATCTCCATTTCCCCAGGTAAGGCCAAGTTTTCACTTTTCTCGTTTTTTTTTGCTTTCCATGCAGCACAAGAAATTCTGAGATAATAATGAGTTTCAATGTTATTCTTCAGCACAAGAAACTCTGAAAAAAGATGGATTCAAATCTCATATATGATCATCAAAACGTTATACTAGGCTTGGCTCCTATCCTAACATACGCAGCATGCGAATGGTTCCTCATATTCCTAATGCTCATAGACGCTCTCCTCTCCTATCTCCTTGTTTGGTTCGCACGTTACTGCAGACTCCCTCTCCCATGTTTCCTCTGTTCCAAGCTTCTTCATCCTCTACATTGGAGACTCCTCCTCTGCAGAAACCACAGATCAGAGGTTTCCTCTTACATGTCATGTCTGAACCACGACAACAACCTCGCAGACTGTCGAGGAATGTGCGACGATTGTCTCTTGTCCTTCACCAAAACAACCGGTCCGAATCCAGAGATGAACAGGTTGCTTCTAGGGAAGCTAGGGTATGATCTTCTCTCCACAACAAGCCATTTTGCTCATCCTAGGTCATGTTCTTGTTGTGATAAACCGTGGAGGACAAGGCACCATACACAGAGACTGGTTAGGTTAGGCTCTAAACCTAACATTCCTGCTCCAAGGCATCATCTTACACGGAGAGGAAGCGCTGGGAGTTTAAAGAAGATGAGAAACCATAAGGCTGCCACAAGAAGTGAAGCTGGAAGCCGCAGCGATGGTATGGCTCACGTGGGGTATGCAGAGCTGAAGATTCACTCGGAGTCTGAATCAGATTTCTTGTTTACAGATGATGATGCGTTGTTTGAGACGATAGACTTCAATGCTGAGCCACCATCTGAGAGACGTGTTCACAAGTCTCGGTCTCGGGGGGGATCGTTTGATGACAAGAAGATGTTGAAGCGTAGACAGCCTTATCTGCAAGAGAACCAGGATAAGAACATTCGTGTTGAAGATCATAAACCACGTGAAGGTAAGGTTGTGGATAAGACTCAGAAGCAACAACAACAACCTATTGAAGCAAGAGATGTAATCTCTGAGCTTATAACTATGAGTGAAGCTCGTCCATTCTCAGTAGCACAAAGTGGTATGTTTACCTCCTGAACATTTATGTCAAAATATATATGCATTGTCCTTAAATTTGGTGTTGTTTCTTGCAGAGAATGAAGCTGATGTAAGTGGCAGCTTATCTCCTTCTGGTGGGGAGTTCTTGAGCCCTTCAGGAGATAATAGTGCCTCTCAAGACATCCAGATTCAAGCACATGACGATTCTGCAGACTCAGCTGTAGAGAAAGAAGCATATGTGGATCAAAAAGTGTCTGCTCACACAGACGTGCCTGGTTCTGTTGCAGATGAACCTTCTAGTGATGAAGATAAAGGAGTTGAAGGAGATTTCAAGCCTGTGACAACCAATGATATGCCAGTTTCTCAGGGAGATGAACCTTCTAGTGATGAGGAGAATGGAGTTGAAGGAGATCTCAAGCCTTTGACGACCAATGATGAAGAGTCAAATGAGGTTAAGGAAAAAAATGTTGCAGAAGAATATTTCAGTAATGAAGATGAAGAAGCTGAGGTCAATGCACATTCTGAGCCGTCAACATCAAAAGATGTATCTGGTTCATTTGCTGTAGAACAATCCAGTGAGGAAGAAGATGGAAGTAAAGGCTATTCGGTTGCAAAATCTCATTCTAGTCATGAAGAAGAGGATGTGGATAATGGAGACTCTGAACCTTTGACATCAAACAATGTGACTAGAGAACACTCTGGTAAAGAAGAGCATGGAGAGACTGAGTCTTTGACATCACCAAAGATCTCCAACGAAGGATCCTCATTAGAACATAGCGATGACAAAGATTCCTCAACAGAGACTCAGAATACTTCAGAGGAAACACCGGAACTAAAGCAATCTGCTTCTGTGGAATCATTTGTAAGCATTAGCAGTGACATTGAAGGAGAAAGTCTAGTTGATCTGTTAAAGCAACAACTAGAGCATGACAGGAAAAGCCTAAGAGATGTGAGTAGAGAATTAGAGGAAGAAAGAAATGCTTCAGCTATAGCTGCAAATCAAGCAATGGCGATGATCACACGGTTGCAGGAAGAGAAAGCAGCTCTCCATATGGAAGCTTTACAGTACCTGAGGATGATGGATGAGCAAGCTGAGCACGACGTTGAAGCACTTGAGAGAGCAAACGATGTCTTGGCTGATAGGGAAAAGGAAATACAAGATCTTGAGATGGAGTTGGAATACTATAGAGTCAAGTATCCAGATGAGCCAAGAGAAGAAATCCTCGCTAGCATGGGAATTATAGAGGACACAGAAACGAGGGGCAACCCAACAACTGATGAGACTAGTGAGAAAGTTGCAATAGACACCAAATTTACCGGTTCTCCATCTGCAGGAATTTGAGAGAGTAGACACATTTCCGGAATACTCAAGAGTGCTGGAAGCTCCCAGGCCTGAGACTAGTACATATCTGTAGAGGCATACATATGGTGAAGAAAGCAATTCTGAACATGGAAATTGATTCTTTTGAGCACACAGGAAGGGCAAGAACGAGTGGATTACTTTAGAGGATGAGATTTCAATGGTAGAGAAACATTTAGAGACACAAAGAGAGAGAGCTAGTGTTTGTAATAACAGGGAAATGTTAGGATTTAGTTGAAGACATAGCTCGGGAGCTTGTGAGATGATCATTGATTTGCCTGTAATAGAATCTTTTAGTATTCCCTTTTTAGTTATTTATTGAGAACACACAAATACCCCCACTGAAACTGAAAAATTTCAAACTTGTTACCACAAAATCAACAAGAAATCTAATATTTACCAGACAAAGTAGAAAGACAAATAACAATTCAACAAATTCGTTCAACTAACTTCTTGAAGCTTAATAGTAGCATCGAAGCTGAAACTTTCACCTGGTTCAAATGTTTCTTCAAGATCTTCATAGCTTTGCTCAACACTCAACTCTTTGCCAACCTTTAGGTCTTCCTACGAAAGCATAAACAACCAAAAGCAAACCCTTTTAAACTCCAGCCATAACAATATCATTTAATCATTGGTTCCAACTGATATTACACAATCAAACTAACACTGTTGGCGTTGATTCCAATCCTAGTAACTAAATCTAGATAGGGCAACCTATTCACATATTTACATTCTAAGGAATGTAGGTCTTCAAAAACAGGTTCAGTTCATCTCTCAGAAAGCATTAGATCTAGTGTGTTTCTGTGTATTAAAAAAATCTTTAGGATTATCTTGCACATTTAACTCAAAAGCAAGCTCCAACATTAAGCACCTCTAGGATAACTTTTAGACAAGGATTATGTTCACTGAATTTACAAAGTTGCTATGTGAAGCAGAAACTAGTGAGAAGCTCGAGTTTATGAAATACCTGTTTAACATAGTCTTCAATAGTAGAATTGATTAATTTCTTTATCACCTGCCTATAGACTTTAGAATATCCAAGGATCTCTAACAAAATATCTTTAGGTATCTGCATAGACAAGGAAAGGGGCACATAAGCACATGACAAAGAACAACTCAGTGAAGGTATTTAGAGCGAGTTGTCAGCTAATAGCATCACTGCAATAACTGCGAATCTAAGAGTATCAGTAGAGTGCGAGGTATGAACTTTTCCAGAGAAGTCTAATTCCATAGGATAAAAAGCACCATCGCCAAACCACTTTATGGTTATGTTCTTTTGGCTTAATGCTAATGGGTTCACTAAAATACACTGAAGTAAATAAAACTTACGTCTGGGGTCTTCCCTGGAGTTCCAAGGTTGATAAGCAGATGTACGAAGGAGAAACAAAAAAGCAATAAGAAGAAAATTAGAGAAGCAATCAAATGAATTAGCTACTAGTCATCAGAAGCAAATCATATACACTACAAACACGAGAGATTTTCGGAACCTTGTGTAGTCTATGAGCATTGTTAACGAGAGTAACTTAAGTGTCCACCCTATTAAGTCAAATCTTTCTAAAGCCAATAACGAAATTACAAAGTTGCAGAGAGCCGAGAGGTGAAGGAAACATGAACTCTAACACTATACAATATTTAGCATGGGGTTGCATAGGCCAACTTAAGAAACCAAGTTTATCTTCCGCTAGCTTATACCTCCTTTAACTCTTCGGAAGCCCGGGATAGGCTGAGCTGCAGCCACCATTTTGTCAAATACAGTATTGAATACTGCTTGAGTCTTCTCTCCAGATACTTCAACATGCACCTGCACTCAGCCAGTAGGAAACATAAGGGTGGAAAGAAACACACTTAGATTTCATAACCCATTCTTGACACCAGTATCATGCTTATATAGTATACCTTAACTTCATTGCTGTTTCCGGTCTCCACTGTCGTAATCAAAACTGATTCATCCTTGGAAGAGGTCTCAACATCTGCGAAGAAAGACACATTTTACATGAGAAAAATAAGAAGCTAAAACAACAACAAGAAAAGAATATAATTTTTAAAAAGTTTGAACCTGAAGGTGCTGCACAAACTGAGACGAACTGTCTATTCGTTGCTCTGTAAAGAGTAAAGAATAAACAGCAATCAACAAAGGAAGAAACTAGAGTTACAATTACAAGAATACGGTCCAAAGACTTCAGCAAACACAGCAATGGTCTCGTTTTGATATTGAACAAGTTCATGCTTAAACTCTATGTTATAATGGACACTACAAGAAAAAAAGAGAAAAAAAGCAGAAACTTTACCTTGTAGAGAAACTTGGTTGCACTGACAAAGTTGGAGGAAGAGTAACAAAAGAAGAAAGCTGAAGTCTTTGTTGTTTCCGTTCAATAATCTGCAAAGTAAACGGAGAATGTTTTGGTACACAAAGTACACATTTTTTAAAAAGACATTAGTAGTAAAGAAGAAGGTGGCCCTAACGAGAGAGTTAAAGCTACAGGACGGGAGGTTGTGGATGATTGTCTGCATTAGAACTTTAAGCTATGAGTCGATAAGACGTTGCTTCTTTGGCGAGATTACCGCAGAGGTATGAGACGAAGGAAGGAAGGAAGAAGCAGAGGGACTAACTAAAGGATAACTCGTGGTTCGGTGATTTTCGGTTTACTTTAGATTTATTTTTCGGTTTAATTTAGATTGAATTTTGGTTTTTTAATCAGTTTTCACTTGTCCGTCTCTTCTGACCGAAGCTTTTTCTTTTTTTTTGGCTTCGGACACTGTTATCTTGAGTTGAGGTATCAATAATCAAATAAATTAACCAAACTCATTAGCAACGAAGGAGAGAAGAAAAATTATATACATGAGAGAGACTGAGAAGACATATTACTACATTACCCCTGTTCTTACCAACAAAAAAACATATACACAAGAAGAACATACAATATGAACTTTGCCATCCATAACATAGTCCTACCAAAACAAAATAAATAAATCTGATTCTTAATGTCTAACAACATCATACAACATAAACACCAAAATGATAATGAGACGCAACGCTCCAACCGCACCACCACCACCGCGAAACCCTGCAAACACATTTCAAGAACGCAGGTCATTTGAGTCCTGTGCGCTCTCTTCTTAACTTTGTTGATATTTTGCACTTAATACTGTACATTGCCAAGAAAACTAGAGCGTACCGTGATTTCTAAGAGTCTGAGATGTTGGCAAGGCAGGTAATGACATCTCTGCACATTCGTTTAAGTAAAATTTCAATCAGAAGAAACACAATTTTTTTTAGGTTTATGGAACCTCAAGACAATGAGATCACGAAGATGAAGTAAAGAGAAATGTTTACCAGGAGCACAAAGCGACAATGAAGACATTGACGATGAAGATGGCCATGGCGCAGCTATGTTATCCGTCAAATCACATGTAAAACTGTATCCTGTCGTGTTGTCAAATATCAAGTCTGCAGGATAGCTTCTTAGAAGACAACCTATATATATGAATATTTGTCATCATCGTTAGACACTTTTAACTCTATGTTGCAAAACAAACAGCTTTTTTTTTAGATTATGAGTCTAGATTGATGCATACCTTGTTGCATTCCATATGCTGCTTATCCCCCACCAAAGGCATACCCAGGAAACAGCAATAGAGAGATAATGTCAGGAAGTGGGAAAAAAACAATACAGTTACCTGGAGAACTTAGGAACAAGCATACATACCTTGGACACTGAAATCTTTGAGATCGACATCACAAAGCTCATATATATTTGTCATGACACCACCTTTCCGTAACATAGAACCGATGACTGTTGCACACACTATGGCCTGCTTGTTTGTTATTAACATTTGGTTCTGTATCCTATCAATGTAAGCATTCAACGAGCTACAGCAAGAAGGGCTTGGAGCAGCCACATTACGACAAGCCTTGATCACTTCCGTTGGCTCCTTAAACTCCAAGGGGCAAGCTGTATGTAACCCCACAATGTACACCGTCAAAGACTGCATACAAATGAGAGAGAGAAAGGGAAGGTAAGTAGATACAGTTCATTACCTTTGTTAACTTTGCAGGAAGACAATATCCTAAACGCTGTGTTGGCTTTGTCTGCTTCCAGCTTCCTTGCAATATATGAAAACACAACATTCTTGCAGTCATTAAGTGCGTTGACGTTGTTTGATCCTCCTAAAGGGATCTTATCACCACCAACCATCGTTTGGTGTCCCGAGATTATAAGCGAAGCTTCCATAATCGCACCTTGGCAAACTGGTCTACAACACTCCTTAAGAGGATCAACGGTGCGACAGGCATCCAGTAATTTACTACTGTTAACAACTTTCTCGAACGTTGTGACATCTTGAACAGGACAAGAACCTCCAGTTAGATTTGAGGATGTCACAGAGCAAAGTTCAGGTATTGTCATGTTGGCTCTTTTGCTGACAAGGATGCTAACGATATCTGAAAAACAATCTGTAGCAACCGAATCAGGGAGAACCAACTTATCTGACTTCACATCATGCTGTCCTTGGAAGATATGTAGTAAGCTAACAAACTGCGGACAGCATATCACGTTTCCAACGAGTGCAGCGAATGGTTGGGAACAATCTGACGCTGCTGTATCGATAAGAGTTGAGATTGCTTGAAAGTCTGCGGTACATTTCCCGGTTAGCTTTGGTTCATAAGTGTCAGGGAAAGTAGGGTACATTGGTGGTGTCCAAGGTAGAGCAGGGGATGTGTATTTAGGGATGACGGATGGAGATACTTGAATGGGACCGGAGACTCCAATACCAGGTGGGTTTGCTAACTCAGCGGTAGTGGATTTGCTAGTATGCTCATTAGCCTTATAATGTGCCGCTACATCTTGGAAGCTCGATAACCAGATGATAAATAACAAGAAGGGATGAACCAAATAGCCTGGTAAGAGAATCAAGTCACCGGTTAACAAATTGTGCACTCTAGGATATAAATCGCAATCAGAAATTTCCATAGAACTGTCTAACTCATTGCAATAAACTAGGGGAACCAAAAATATAGTATGTGAAACTACTCTCAATGAATCATGATTCTTGTTAGCCGTATATGAAGATGTGTGCCGTAGATTTAAACAAAAAAAAAAACAACACAAACTAGAGCTAAACCTCATAACGAAAACTAAACATACCCTTAAGCCAACAAACTGTCTCCAAAGAGCCCATAGCTAACATGAGTTATTCAGTTTCATTTCATCATAAAATCCACCAAGGCTAAAACTCCTACAACCCATCTTGAGAAGAAAGAATAAACCCAAGAAAAAAGTTAATAACTTTCAACAAACCTAACAGCTTCTTGAGACTTATAGGCATCTACTACACATGAAGTTAAATTGGTTTTGAGCCTTATTATAAACTCAATTATCTAGCCAACCACATCACTCTATCATGAAACCAAGGAAAAAAATCTGTGTCTTTTAAAGTATTCCTCTAACTAACTCTTACTTGACATAAATAATTAAATCCCCCTCACATCTATAAACAACATAAAAACTTGTGTTCATCCACCAAATAATGGTGGCATCTACCAACCCATATACTTTTGTTATTTGTATTCAAGAGCAGACAATAGATAGATCCTCGTAGTTATCAGGATCCACCATAAAGAACAATAAATTTCAAAACTTTATGTTCTGCACAGAACATAAAGCACACTCCAGATTCCCCAAATTAAAAAAAAAATATTAAAAAAACAATTCTCGAATTGGATATTGTTTCAACACTCTTTCAATACCTAATAAGAGAAACGGATAGCTAGAAGAAGAAGAGGAAATAGATACCTGAGTACTTCACCATCCTCCCCCGTAAAATTAAACCATTGTTTTCTGACTGTGGAGGAGCTAAGAGAGCTTGAGATTGATAACAAGTTCGGATTCTGCTTCTTTGGAGAGATAAATCGATTATGGAGATGAAGAAGAGCGTTCTTTAGCAGAAGAAGAAGAAGAAGAAGAAGAAGAAGACTGAGAGAGATTGAAGGGAATGAAACCACACAACACAACACAAAAGGGAAAGCAAAAAAGAAACTTTACTTTACCTTTCTCTCCTCTCTCTCTCTCTCCTTCACTCTGTTTTTTTTTCTTTTCATTTTACCGTAATTAGGCATGGTCTTAAAAAAGTGATGACTCATTATTATTATCAAATCCATCATTTATCTTTTTTTTCCTTCTTTTCCAAATTTTTATTTTTATTTTTATTTGTATACGAGAATTACTATAACGTAAAAATAATTAATGATTTGTTGATAAAAATAATTATCCAACAACAGAGTTGATGATAAAAGAAAAGATTGCAAATAATCGACATAAATCTGATTGATGTTGACTTTAAGATTTGTATTATTAATGCTTAGGAATCCAAAGACAAAGAGACCATCATTCATCTTTTTTACTTGTTTTAGATTTTTGCTGTTCAAAACGTTGCTTCTGTCCACATACATTCTCTCTTGAGTTTTGATGGTTTGACTAATCATCATAACCAATATTTTAAGCTTTATCTATTAATCTTCATCTATTTAAAAGGGTGAAAGCAACATCGGGTGGGCATTGTTGGATACGGTGTAAAGATATAGCCATCTCTCCAGAGCCAAGTAGAAATTTACATGAAAACCAAATTAAAGTTACTGAGAGAGTAAAAAGGAAAGGCTACAAATATTACAGAACACAAACTGGTGACAGATTCAACAAGACACGAATGTTGACAAGAACATAAATATAACCAAGTAAAAAAAAAAACAGAATCATAATCCAGAAAAAAGTCACTCAGCTAGCTAAATGGTTTGGGGAATTATTGAACATACTGTGCCACATGTAAGCTCTTGAGAGAACCATCTCCAGCTCTTGGTCTGTCCACGTTTGTGTCGGAAGGTGTTGCAGGAACATTACCATCTCTTGAAAGTCCAGCTTCTTCAGCTCATCTGACCACTGCATTGTGTTCATAACACACAAACTATATTCAATCCTTCTCATGGTCTAGAAAAAAAAAACAGTTTCTTGCATTTTTTTTGCTTACCGTTAAGAGAAAGCTAGCATATATATACACTAGGAAGTCTGGCAATGCGTCTCCTTCAGCAAGATATGTGTCCCATAAGCGGTTGATGAGACTGAACGGGATCTACAAAGCTCAAAGCGTTTTATCAAGTTCCATCACAACCAAATAAAACTTTGCAGGGTCTGAGAAAAAATGGTGTATATCCGTAGAAGGTAAAACGGTGTCTAACCTCACGTATCAGAAGACAGTTATACCACCGAAAAGCAAACTGAAGAAACTCTAGTCCTTGCTCTTCCATGTGTCTTGCAACAGGTTCTAGTACATAAACAACCCAATGCGATTTGAGAAAATGTTAGCTTTACATCCTATCAAATAATATATCAGGCTAAGCTATGTTGGTATTTATGAATTAATGCGCTAGCAAATAAAGTATGATAGCATCAAGAGTCATGACAAGCCAATTAGCAGAAACTAGATATTATCACTCAATGACATCAACTCATCAAAAGGTGACATGCATGTAGATACGCAGAACCGTGACGATGGCAAGCTTAAAACTCCGCACAGACATTGTTAAGGACACAGTCTTCAAATTTCCGAGAAACGCAGAAAATGTAGATTAAGGACGGACCTTATGGTAAACAAGATGAAAAAGGACCCAGTGACATGATTTTTACCATGCATGAATTGTTCTGTTAAAATCACCAAAGACATTTCCAATTATAAGGATATGCAGAGCAGGAATCTTACCATCAATACGCCTGACTAATTCCTTTAGCTTAAACACAAGTCTCTGGATTCCAGGTTGAGCAAACGTGTAATGATCTTGCATACCATCAAGTAGCTTTGTTAAGCACCAGTAACAATCAGCCTCTACATCTGATACTTTTGCAGCAGACAGATCGGACATTGACCAACTCTCTACGTCACCATCTAGATATTCTGACAAGAATATAACTAGAAAGGGAGTGACCAAATCATTTATTCCCTGAACATATCCACTCGCTGGATGCCTAATGGCCCTGCAAATTAAAATTTCAGAGTTAGCTTTCAACGTCTTTTTTTCCAACTGATTGTTAAGTTGACAGAAGAACAATTTTAATCACAGCCTGCACTCTTATAACTTACCATGTATAGAGAATACGCTCCAATGATTTTTGCACCTGTGCTTGCTGAAAGAAACTGACGTCTGGTACAGTCCTTGGACAGTCAACAGCAATCTGGGGGAAAGAATACAATCGCTAAGAGACTTTTGAAAATTCTGTGAGAGAAGCAATAAAACAACGAAAGAAAGAAAAAAACCTGGCGAAGCATATTGATCTCATCATCAGAACGTTCAGAATCTGGAAGGTCATAAAACTGGGCAACAGATTCAAGATATTCAAGACGTTTCCTTCTCAGAACAGCCTCCCTTCTATCTGAATTAGGTGGTGCATATCCCTGTTGTCAGTTTATGTTTTAACTTCAAATAGTAAAAATAAACCAATAAAAAAAGCAAAAATTGTTGCCACATAATGCAGATGCGATAACATAAATAATGTGACAAGTGACTTAAATAAGCTAAACACAATATCTACACAAGATATTGCACCGTAAAGAGATTAAAAGGCAAAATGACCAGAGGTTTGTTTAATAAGTATTTATGAAGTGGTAGAGCGTACCAGGAGAAGGCGCCAGACATCAGGGCGCATATAGTGGGGGACACCACTCCACGCTAGTTCACGCAGCTTCTCTAAAATGTAAGAAGATGGAATTAAAAATTAACCAAATGACAGAAGATATATGAAGAACAAAACGGAGGCTTTCATTGAACAAAATAATCATCGACATAGAATATAATAGTAAGTGAAAGGAAGAAACCTAAAATGACAGTAGTATCGGAAAGGACTTTGTTGAACTTCATAACTCTGGCATAGTCACTAGATCTAGCACCAATCTTGAGGTTTTGGACTTGTTTCGCAAGCGTTTCACCACTGGTGGAGTTTGATCGTAGCTTGCCCGCATATGTATTATCATGTTTCTTGCTTGACTCCTCATCATCATCTTCCGCCTGCATCACAAAATCTCTTGAACTTTTCCAAAAAAGTAAAAGTCATTTCTGATTTCACCAACTCATATACCTGGACGGGATTGTCGGAACGCTCGGCGTCATTCTCAGACAAGCTCCGGTGATAAGTGGGAGAGATTGGTTCAGGAGTAGGATCGGGTCTCCTAGTCAACAATACCTTACCAGGCATACTCCTTCCTTTCAGAAATCTATTTAACGCAAAATTCGGAAACAATCGTATCAACAGATTCAATTCGTAGATCTAAAGGAAATGCAAGATCCGGGAGGATAAAACATTGAAATTCGATAGATTGATTGATTGATTACCCTTGGACGTTCTTGAGAGTCTGATTGAATCTGGAATCGTCGCGCTTTTGTTGCTCCTCTTCTCTCCGCTCCATTTTCTATTCTCACTTATGATTCTGATGTTCACAGAAGTGGAGGAGTGAGACTTTAGGATCCATTGCTTTCCATCGATCTCTACTTCTAAAAAGCCATCGAGGAACACAAAGGTGAGTGATGTGGATGATTACAAACTAATAACTAAATTACTTACTTACTTACAAGGCGTCTTTATTTTTTATTTGCACTTAAAAATAAAGAAAGTACTGTTTATTTTCAACATTAAAAAAAAAAAAAGGATGGGAAGCTTTTTCTTACAGAAAGTATCAATAAACATCACATGAGTGACATAGTTGAGTTTGAATTTATCTTTCATCGATTAAGTGTAAGTTGAAAGCAAAGGAGAAAGAATATGATCACATGAATTCCTCTGCAAAAAAAAATGTGGAGACAAGCTTCTTATTCAGATCAAAAAGGGAGGAGCGCTCAAGGCTATGAGATGGGTCTCTCTGCGTCCATGCGTTCAATCACCCTTCTTGCTTCTTCTTCCGTTGATGGAACCACATTCCTTATCTTCAATCCATCTTTCATTGCTTCAGGTCTTACACTGAATGTGAAGTAGAATCTGTTCGATACCTACCACACATATACCACATCAAACATCACCCTCACATTATTATATAAACACCTTCCCAACCTTATCCTGCATGATGTGCATAGCTCATTAAACTTACTTCGCTAGATCTGAGTTCTGGACTTGTGACATGAGCTACAACCTCGATGTTTATTAGCGGTTCTGCTGAACTAGTAGCTTCCGTGTACAGTATACGTGATTTGAAACGAAGGAAGTTCCCAACATCCACCTGCAGCAATAAAAACACCCTCTCAGTCGATTTCTTTATGACTAACATTAATCATTGTTTCAGAAGGAAATGGGACACTCACAGGTTTGACAAAATCGACACGGTCAACTTCAAGAAAACGTGGGGAAACCCCAGCGAAAGTGTAAGCATTGGAGAAGGCAAGCTCAAAAGCCTTGCGCATCAAGAAGCCTCCAAATATTCTGCCATGGATATTCCGTTGCTGTGGCTGACATATCAATGTGTTCTCATGGGAAGTGTCTTTAATCAGGATGCTATCCCTATCTGCAAGAGCTGGCATGTCCTGGAATACTCGTCCTTCTGCCAATAAATCATTTAGCCTCTCTAAGTCCTTCAACTTCTCTTGCTCTTCTTTACCTTGTGCTCTCTTTTGTTTCCGTAGTTTGTTCCTCTCTTCTGCTTCTTTCCAGAGATTTTTTTCATGTTCGGTTTCTGGAGTGACTGGGTTAATTGGAGTTGACTTGCCTGTCTTGGCATCCCGAGCCACGAATGTAAAGTTTGCCTCAAGAGCAACTGATTCAGAGGGGTGATTGGCGTCTGCAAAATCTTGCTGTTAGAATATTCAGCAAAGGAAAAAAAAATAACCATTACTCCACAAGAGATATCAATATCATACTTCATAGCATGAATACAGAGATATTACTGAATAAAAAGGTACCATGAAAGTCATATATTTGTTCCATTGAGCACAGTTTATTAGCGAATGTCTATCAATGAAAATTCAAAGAATAACGGATTAAACACCAATAAACTGGCTACAAAACAGATAATTATAGTTCAACTTCAACAAAATCTCACAACTTCCTCAACTAGTTTTTTTCAAGTTTTGACTATGAGCAATTTCTACCACCTCATTTTACCAGTTTCGGGCATTAAACATACCAAAATGAAATACAAACAATCCGAGTGTATATCATCTATGTATCTTACCATGCTCATTGATTCAGATGAAACAATATAATCAACAAAAACGAAGTTCTTCTTTAAATGAGAGTGTGTAAAATACTAAAATGCATTAGAAACAAAAGAAAGAAATTTAGAGAGAAACTGATATACCTAGAGTCTGTAGTACTTGTAACTGCATCTCCATGGATGACCTCCCAACCCAAGTAACAGCGCCAACAATAGTAAGGTCAGCATCCACACGAATAGGTCTTTTCATAATAATCCTATCCACAGAAGCCGTCACCAAAATCATCGACCTCGCACTCCCATCACCACTGCTACAATGCTATTCATATGATTTTGCAAACGCATATGTTACTAAAGAAACTCATCACTATGCTAAAATCATTTCACAATCCCTAAATTGATCTAATGCGATTGCTAATTAGTGATTCCGGACCTTAAAGGAGACGGTTCCTGCAAGAGCGTCAAGATCCTCAACTAATTTACCAGTACGAATCTCGTTCCACGGATTCCTGTACTGCTCGCGAAGCACGAAATCGGAAGAAAACTTGTAGAGGATCGATGTCCTGCTCCGCGACGGAGTCTTGGCGTTTAGCTCCGATCGCGAACCACCGTCCTCTCCGGTTTCGAACATGTTGCGCCTCGCTTCCCAGAGCGCGTTGGTGACGGGGGAATGGTACATCCCAGGCCACAAGCTGATTGGTTTCCGCATGGATGATCCTGCGTCGATCGAGTTCTGATCGGGATTTTCGTCTTGCGGTGGTGGTGGTGCAGCCGTGGAGTTCCACATCTTCTGATGAGAAGCCGGGAAGTGAGATCCAGGGGCGGCGTTTCTCCGAAGAGAATGCGAGAGAAGCTTTCTCGCTGACGATCTCATGGATTGATCTTGCGATGATGATTCAAGAGGATCGCTGTTCAATTTTTTTGGTCTTTCTCGGCGAGGTTAGTGCCAATTGGTCAGCCACACACACTACAGTGGCTGGTTTTTGATGCGAACTACTGTATGTTAAACTAAAATCAGTTCCAAACAACCTAAACGACACATCATCATACATTAATTTTATAATATTTATTATTTGATCTATAATTCATATTTTTTTGTTTAATTACATTTTAAAAAAATTAAATAATCCACAAATCAATAGTTTAATTTCAATTTTACTGTTTTTTGAAGCAAGTCTGTCAAAAAAAAATAATTTAACGAAAATCATGTAATAATAATTAAAATACATTTATTTCAAAAACAAATAGAAAGAATTTTAAGAACCAAAAAAACGAAATTTATTTTTCATGTTTCTTAAACTTACACCAACGGAAAAAAAAATGAATATTTTTATTTTTAGTTTTTGGCTATAAATCTCAAACTTAAAGAAATTAACTATAATTAAATCTTCAAGCATAAATGTGACTAAAGAAAAGTTACACCCAAAATTTTGAAATACAATCACAGGCCACTTGAAATATTACAAAGATTCAGAGTAGCTCAAACTTTAATATTCTTATACACAAACCCAAGAAAATTCAATGAAGAGGACCTGAAAACAGCAAGTTCATGATAACATATCGATTAAGGAGAAGACCAGTTTCTTAACAGTAAAAGATGAAGTACACAAGGTTGTGTTGATTGCAGGAAGAACATTAGTAGGATGCCCAAGCAACACTTGGTGACTTTTACGATTCTGATACACGTCCCACATCACTAATAAGCATGACCATTGACCAGTACTTATACTAAATGAGTTTCTACTTTTGGAGTTAATATGAGCTTTATTATGAACTGCTTGTGGGACACTTATACACAAATGTGTATCTTCTTAACATTGAAACTCATAATATACCTTCTGACTCAGAAATTGCACTTGTTCCAGCTATTTCCAAAACATCTACACAATACACAAAAGTATGAAATCATTCGGAAGACAACCCTGCATGTCATACTTCACATTTGGCATCCAAGCCGTGCGAAATCTTAAGCAAATCTTAATCAGGTGTAGAAGAACAAGGCTTGGCTTCTTATCTTGGTTCACATACTCGATCTCTCCTACCACCAATTGAGTAAAACTAAAAGTCTTACTTCTTCTTTTCTGAATACTATGAGACAACATTTCTCTACCTGTTAGTCTATTTATTTGTCACTCTTCAAGTGTTGTTTCTTTGCTGTTAGTCTGGATTATCTTTCCTTGTGTAAATTAATTGGTTTACCCCCGGTTAAAGCATTTACTCAAACGACATAAATAAGATTGAAATGCAAATGAGCAAAGATAAACATTGTTATCATCTATTCATACCAATTAAGAAAACTACAACACTCGGGAGTTAGTCTACCAAAAATCCTTTTGAGTGCCAAAAAGAGAAACTACTTGCGTGACAAGGCAATAGAAATAGAGAGAGCTAATGTTCAGAATAACACAAAAGATTCAAGTCACATAGCAGAGCTGTTTTCCCAGGAATCTCTATTCACAACCGGAGTTCAGGATCCATCATTGTCTCTTGTACAGCCACGACATTAGGAGCCATCTCCGTGCACTCTTCAGGCTGTGTTCTGTTTACCTCCAAACCCTCGAATAAGTTGCCAGAATCTCTTGTTATGATTCGAACACAAACACGAAGAGTTCTCCTTCTCTTTGTAAACGGATAAAGTCTCTTGTTTGTCTCTTCACACACAAACGGATTGTAAGAATCTCTAGTTACATCCGGAGACATGGATGAAGATGTAGCATCATGTATAAGAGCCATAGCCTCATCTTGATCTTGATATTGTGGTTGAGGATCGAAAGCAAGAAAGAGCTTCCCATCTCGAGAGTGAAAGGACCAGAGGCGACGAGTTTGGTTAACCTCTATGTCATTTTCTCGGACGAACAGGTTCCAACCAGAACATAAGGCGTAGTTGAAACTGGACTTCATCCTCCATACCCTAAGGTTAGCGTTCCATTTCTTCTCAGCATCGTTACTATTCAACAAGATCACATCAACTCCTTTCTCACCATCTCCACTGTAATACTCCTCTACAATGTTCAACTCTGCCTCGTTCAAGAAGTCATCCTCTGTTATCTGTTTAAAGGGTATCAAGAAACGACCTTGTTCTGGTTTTAGATCACTCTTTGTAATCACCTTCTCTATCACCAGCTTCGCATCTACACCCTTCTTTCTCCTCATCAGCTCAACTAACCATCCTGGAGTCACTCCAAGCTCTCTTCTAACCGGTTCCTTTTGCTTAACCGGTCCCTTTCTTTCCTTAACCGGAGGTTTGATTTCTCTAATAGGTTCTGCTCTGATGGGTTTGTCATCGGACACAACCACACGACGCTTCTTGGACTCGACCAAACTCAAAGAAGAAGAAGAAGAAGCAGTAACCTTTTCTTGATTCTTGGACTGATCATGATCATCAATCTTTCGTTTACCTAACGAGAAAGTGTTGGTAATAGTGTCGATCATGAGAAAGTTTCTGTCTTGTTCTTCTTGAACTCGTCTAGCTCTGATTTCATCGTCGTCTCCAAAAGCGAGAAGCATCGTGGCGTAAAGATCGAAGCGTCTCTTATCTCCCTCCTCGCTGTTTTCGTTATCATCATCATCTTCACGGGTCACCAGACTCACCACCATCTTCCTCTGGATAAAAAAAAAGCTAGAGTCTTTTTTGGTTTCGCTATGATGAATCAAAATCTTTCTCGGGATATGTTGAGAACAAGAGGAGGCTGAGAAAGGGTTTAGTAGGAGGAGGACTCTTGCTTATATAAGGCTTTTCATTCGGACACCTACAAATTTATTTTTGTTTTGATTAGCGAAAGATTATCTGATATCCGTTGGATGCTACTATATTACATGGAATCAGAAACGGGAATGTTTAAACCGTTGAAACGGAGGTAGAGAACGTGGCTGTTCAATATTTTCGTGATCTCTTCTCTACTTCTTTGCCAACAGAGATAGATAGTTCCCTCCGTTTTATTTCAGTAAAGGTGTCTCAAGCCGACAATAGGTTACTCTTAGAGAAACCGTCGGAACATGAAATTAGGAAAGCTCTTTTTGAGATTAACCCGGACAAAGCACCGGGACCGGATGGCATGACTAGTAAATTATTTCAGAGATTCTGGCGAGAGATGCGTCAAGACATTATTAGATTTGTACAAGATTTCTTCGAGACAGGCTTTCTTGACCCTTTGTTGAACCAGACAAATATCTGTCTCATCCCTAAGAAGAAGAAACCTCGGGATATGACCGAGTTCAGACCTATTAGTCTCTGTAATGNCCGGGACCGGATGGCATGACTAGTAAATTATTTCAGAGATTCTGGCGAGAGATGCGTCAAGACATTATTAGATTTGTACAAGATTTCTTCGAGACAGGCTTTCTTGACCCTTTGTTGAACCAGACAAATATCTGTCTCATCCCTAAGAAGAAGAAACCTCGGGATATGACCGAGTTCAGACCTATTAGTCTCTGTAATGTTAGCTATAAGATTATATCTAAGCTATTATGCAAGAGACTAAAGAGGGTTATACCACGCTTGATCTCAGAGACTCAATCAGCTTTTGTGGAAAAACGTTTGATTACTGATAACATCCTAATAGCACAAGAGAATTTCCATGCACTACGGACAAATATCAGATGTAGGGAAGACTTTATGGCTATTAAAACAGACATGAGCAAAGCCTACGACAGAGTGGAATGGAGTTTCATAGCAGCCTTGATGCTGAAGATGGGATTTGATGAAAGACTGGTTGACCTCATTATGTGTTGTGTCACGTCGGTCTCATATCAAGTCCTTGTCAATGGACAACCGAGAGGGCGAATTGTACCAAAGAGGGGGCTGAGGCAGGGAGACCCCCTCTCTCCATTTTTGTTCATTTTGTGCACGGAAGCTTTGATATCACTCCTTAACGGAGCAGAAGCAGAGAAGAAGATTGTGGGTCTTCGCGTCGCCCAGGCGAGCCCGAGAATCTCCCATTTACTCTTCGCTGATGATAGTCTTTTCTTTTGCGAGGCGAAAGTGAGCCAGTGCAACGAGATTATGGATATTATAGACTTATATGGGAAAGCATCAGGACAAAAACTAAATGCGGCGAAATCTTCGATGTTCTTTGGAAACAGAGTGGACTACCCCCGGAAACAAGAAATAAAAGCAGCACTGGGGTTCTCTACTGAAGGAGACATGGGAACGTACCTTGGATTACCTGAACAAATTGGTGGCTCGAAAACCAAAGTATTCTCCTACATACAAGATCGACTTAATGGGCGAGTTAATAATTGGTCATCCAGATTACTCTCGAAAGGAGGAAAAGAAGTTCAGATTAAAGCGGTGGTTCAAGCAGTTCCGACATACCCAATGTCGTGTTACTTGATTCCACAAGGCATTACTGATAAACTAAGGAGTACGACCTCTAATTTTTGGTGGAGTTCGAAACAAAACAGCAGAGGCTTGCATTGGATAGCATGGGACGAGATCTGTACCCCCAAGGATTTGGGAGGACTAGGTTTCCGAGATCTCCATGACTTCAACATAGCACTTCTTGCAAAACAATTATGGCGTTTGATCCAGTACCCAAATTCTTTACTGGCACGTACCCTAAGAGGAAGATATTACAACAATACCTCCCCCTTGGAGGAGCGACGGACATACTCACCTTCATATGGTTGGCGCAGTATCATGGCAGCGAGACCTTTACTCATGTTGGGATTACGGAGAACAATCGGAACGGGCCGCGATACGCGGGTTTGGACCGATCCTTGGGTTCCTGACTCAGTGGCCCGACCACCTAGACCTGCCGACCACATTGTTTACAGACTTCCCCAACTCCCTGTTCAGGCCTTTATTAGGAATGATACCAAGGAGTGGGATACCCAACTTTTACGGGAATTCTTTCACCCAGATGATATTCCGCTGATACTTGGGATTAGACCCTCCCACTCTTCAGCTCTAGATGGATATGTTTGGAATCACACAAAGACAGGAGTTTATTCAGTAAAAACCGGGTATAACTTACTTCAATTGAGCAAGACGAGCCTTATACATGATATGGTTCTCGAACCAAGTGTCAAAGGCCTCCAGAGTCATGTATGGAAGTTAAAGGCTCCAAGTAAGATGAAACACTTTTTGTGGCAAGCTATTTCGGGCTGTGTGCCGACAGCAGAGAGGCTAACTTATAGACACCTGGGCACCGATAGGAGTTGTCCTAGATGTGCTGGCCCAGTGGAGTCGATTAACCATCTCCTTTTTGAGTGTCCTCCTGCAATGCAGGTCTGGGCTTTATCGGACTATCCGTCCATTCCGGGTGACTTCCCGAGTATATCTATCTACCAAAACTTGAACTTTCTGTTTTGGAAGCGAAAAGAAGTGGCTCCTCAGAGTCCACAATTCGACACATTCCCATGGATCTGCTGGTACATTTGGAAGGCAAGGAACGACAAACTCTTTAATGGGAAAGAGGTATCTCCTATGGACACTCTCCAACATGCATCTCTTGAGGCAGAATGTTGGAGGAAGGCAAACGAGAAGGACGAAGTAATTGAGGACCATGAGCATCATGAGGTACCTTATAGTTCAGAGGCCCCTACGATCCCCCAAATCCCTACATGCCAAATTGATGCATCATGGATCGATAATGGTAGTGTAAGTGGCTTAGGGTGGAGTCTTAAGGATCAAATGGGTTCTGAATGGATCGGACTACGGGCATGTAGGAGGAGCCTATCAGCTCTGCATGCTGAGATGGAAGGCCTACTGTGGGCAGTCTCATGTATGAGAGATTTGAGGATGACTTCGATACGGATTGAGACGGACTGTTCGGATCTAGTGGACATGTCTACTAGACCGGAGGACTGGCCGGCTTTCGCGACGGAGATCGAGATGTTTCAGCGACTACGGGAGGATTTCGTGGATGTGAGTCTGTCTCATATCCCACGGGACAGAAATGGACGAGCGGATGCATTGGCTAAGGAAGCAAGGAGTAGAGGTTTTTCATTTTCCCATATAGACNGGACTGTTCGGATCTAGTGGACATGTCTACTAGACCGGAGGACTGGCCGGCTTTCGCGACGGAGATCGAGATGTTTCAGCGACTACGGGAGGATTTCGTGGATGTGAGTCTGTCTCATATCCCACGGGACAGAAATGGACGAGCGGATGCATTGGCTAAGGAAGCAAGGAGTAGAGGTTTTTCATTTTCCCATATAGACAGACCCGGCCAGACGAAGTTTCTCCTTGGAGAATCGACTCGACTGGTCACCACTTGGTCTAGTGCAAATGGGCGGCCGACAAAAAAAAAAAAAAAAAAAAAAAAAAACCGTTGAAACGGTTTTTTTTTTAAACAAAAAAAAAATGGATATGTGTTGAAAGAGCATGTTTATATTTGCATCTATACTATTAAAACACAAGGTCCTTTTTTTAGGTGCCCTTGGTTTTCAACAGTATTTACAGATCACTGTCCCTGGAATATTTTAAACCTATGCTTTTTATTAAATAATATATTTACAGAAAATCTTTTTAATTATCCATTTGCATAAGTGTAACCATAATCTGAAAAATAATGCGACTTTATTTAGGGTTTGACGGCGATGAAGATTGGAGACATGTCTTCATTTCAATCTTTATTTTTGATTGAGAACTTCATGCGTCGAGTGCGATTCGGATGGTATGGTTAAAGTGGCTTCACTTTTTGTGGTTTTCGAATGGTTTTGACTCGAGATTTCTCGAGCTTCAGTATAGAGAAACGAAGGAGGTTCGGAAGATCCTTGGGTTTGATATGGATTGTGGTAGGTTTTGTCGAGATTCATGTAATCTCCGATGTTAAAGAGATGGATTACTGTAAAGGAGTAGGTTTTTGAGGAATTTTTTGAAACTCAATATTATCAAGGGATTTGCAATCGGGATTCGAAAGCAGTGTACAGATTTGATTGATATTTTTAATTGCTTTGGTTATTCGCTCTCATGATTGAAGTGGGGAAAGAATCTCTAAAGGGAAAGAAAATCTATTAGATGTAATGGCTTCCGGGATCACATCAAAGGTTTCTCTAATCTGTTTTTTTTATCTGATGCAGGACATGATGTTTTACTGTACAGCTTAACGCTATATCTGTACTTGGTTTATTTTGACAATAAAGGTATAGTAGGCTTAACCCCGGCTACACAGTGTATAGTTTTGGGAATGTACAGGTCATCTCTTTATTGTTGCAGTGCAGAAGAGTAATGGCATATGTTGGGTCTATTAATGTATTGTAGTTGTCTTTTGGTGTTGGCACATTATGTTTTTTGGGACTGTCATGGATCTGAACAGGCAGAGATATAGAGTTTATATCCTTGGTTTACGTGAGGTTAAGGTGGGGGGAAAGAAAAAAGAAATCCTCACTGGAGTTTGGTTTCCTGAACAATAATTATTCATGGTTTGGTTTTATATGCAGGAGTTTTGTGCTAACTGACACAATTTGGTCAATCGAAGTGGCTGGTGATTAGGACAAGAGTGATGGAGGGGCTAAGATTCAGTCCCGTGAAAGATGACATTGGTTGAATTTGCGGTATATAA